GGGTCCTCCTCTGTAATCTAGCCCGCTCTAGGGCCTTCTCCGTATGTCTCTATGCTAGTGCCCCTTCCTGGGCTCTCACTGTGCCCACTCCGGGCTCTCTCTAATACAGTGCCCCTCACTGGGACTCTTAGTAACACTGCCCCTCTCTTGGGACTCTTGAGGCCCACTCTGGGCCTTCTCCAAAATAATCTAGTCCACTTTGGGACGTCCTCTCGAGCCACTGGTCTTTTAGGCCCACCGCACTGCTAACCTCTCATTTGCCAGGTGCACTGTGCTGCTATCCCCTTTCCCTGGGGACCACCGTAGCACCGCCCTTCTCCTGGGGCGCTGTACTGCTAACCCCTTTTCCTCCGGGGCAACCACAGCACCCTGCCCCTGTCCTGGGTTTTCTGTAGTGCTAGCCTGTTACCGGGCTCGCTACGCCCGTCCTGGGCTTCTCAATCTTGCCCCCCCTTGGGCCTCTCTCATATTGCCCCCTGGGGCCTCTCAAACATTGCCCCTCTTGGGCCTTGAACTGGTCCCCCTTCTCTGGGACCTTCCGGACCCCCGCTGGGCTCCTTAATAATACCGCCCCCTGTTTGGGGCTCTCTATGCCCACCCTGGGCTTCCTAATAAAATCGCCCCTCTCTCTGGGACCTGCTGTGCCCACACTGGGCTCTTTAAATACCCCTCTCTGGGCTGGGGTCTACACACCCCACAAGTTGCACCCTTACTGGCGTCGGGGTCCTCACACTCCTGTGAGCCCCCCCCTATGAGTATTGCGCCTTCACTGGCGCTAGGGCCCCCACACCACTGTGGGTCCCTTTATGAGGATAACGCGCCCTCTTGGCACTAGGGCCCCACCCCTCTGGGGTCCCTATGAGGCCTCCTCCAACCCCTAATAGCCTCACCCAAACCACCAGTGTAATACAAACACTAAAGCAAATACCAGCCTCCTGGCTATAACCAGAACCCAAGGCCCTGGGCCATAACAACATAAGCCTCCTGGCTGTAATTTAACATCATTGCTCCAGCCTCTGGAGCTCTCACGAGCCATACTTGCTGTTAGGCTTTCCCTCGCATCCTAACTGCAGGAGCTCCTGGCTACTGGCAGGGAACCACTAGCCTGGCCTTGGCTCTAGGCTTTATAGGAGCCAGGCCCTGCTCCCTCAGGATCAGCTGACTCATTAGTTGCCCTGGCAACCTGAAGCTATGCTCATTATCTCTGCTAAGGCTTTCCCCCAGCAGTTCTCCCCTCTCTAGGACCGAGGCAGCGAGGTGCGCCACGACAAAGAGTAACATGGAACCCTCACAATTCCTTGTTGATTTCTCTTGGCACTCGAATACAGAGCATACTAACCGTCCAAAAACTAAAGAAGCCAACTTACTGATAACAATATTATGTACACAGGATGAAGTCTGAAAGGGACCTTTCAAATTAGGCAAATACAGTTGTAGTATTCCAAGGTCTGTTCAGATATATAATCCCATGCATTCTTATACATGCACATGGAAAAACACCTCTTCTTGTACTGAGAGTTTGGTATACTCCTGAATCTGGTGCTATTCATGGGGAGGTACCTACTTTATCAGAATTGAAAACCAAATGAAAAAATCATGCCAAGGAGGGGATGGTGGTTAATTATTGCTGCTGGCATGCATCATCGCAAATAATATTAGCTTTACATTTGAGTTTAACTTGCATATCATTCCTTAATGTAATTCAACCAATTTTCAGTTGATGTGAAATATTGGAACTAGTACTTAAGAAGTGCAGGTATGAAGTTCCTGAATATCTCAAAAAATCATTAGGACATGGCTGATAAATACCCTCTGGCATGAATATTTCGCACCCCTAGATTTACAAAGCTGTTTTGACCATGCCAAGGTTTTCTTATATTAGGATTGACAGGTTTTTCATGTTTGACAGATAGCAAAAATACACTGTTGTACTTCATCTCTATCTGTCAACTAAGGCTAGTATCACAATGATAGTTTCAGAGTCCTAACTGGGCTACCTAAATACAAGTTTCCTGATTTTTCTGAGGTGTTATACACATGTAATTCCTGTTAAAGTCAAAGGAAGCTAAAGGTTTAAGCCCTAATGTAGTTTCAGAGTCTATATGTCCAAAGAGTTGTTTTCCCATCCAGAAAAAAATGGAAGTCAGTTTTTGTCCAAAATTCACAAACTTTCTTCTTGATATTATATAAGAGAATCATAGAAAACAAGGGTTAGAAGGGAACTCAGGTCATCTATTCCAACCCCCTGCTCAAGCAGGACCATCCCCAACTAGATCATTCCAGCCAAGGCTTTGTCAAGCTGGGCCTTAAAAACCTCTGAAGATGGGGATTCCACCTCCTCTGTAGGTAACCTGTTCCAGTTCTTCACCACCCTCTTAGTGAGAGTTTTTTCTTATATCCAACCTAAACTTCCCTTGCTGCAACTTGAGACCATTGTTCCTTGTTCTGTCATCTGCCACCACTGAGAACAGTCTAGTTTCATCCTCTTTGGAACTACCCTTCAGGTAGATAAAGGCTTCTATCAAATCTGCTCTCAGTCTTCTTTGCTGCAGACTAAATAAGCCCAGTTCCCTCAGCCTCTCCTCATAAGTCATGTGCCCCAGCTCCCTAACCATTTTCATTGCCCTCTGCTGGAGGCTCTCCAATTTGTCCACATCCTTTCTGGAGAGGTGGCCTCAAATCTGGACACAATGCTCCAGATGTGGCCATACCAGTGCAAAGTAGAGGAGAAGAATTACTTCCTTTGATCTGCTGGCAGTGCTCCTATTGATACAGCCCAGCATGCTGTTAGCCTCTTGGCAACAAGGGCACCCTGTTGACTCATATTCAGCGTATTGTCCGCTGTAACCCCCAGGTTCTTTTCTGCAGACCTGTTGTTTAGCCACTTGGTCCCAAGACTGTAGCAGTGCGTGTGTTTCTTTTGTCCTAAGTGTAGGACTTTCCACTTGTCCTTGTTGAACCTCATGAAGTTTCTTTTGGTCCCGTCCTCCAATTTGTCTTTTTTACTCTGAATCCTAGCCCTACCCTCTAGCATATCTACTACACCCTCCAGCTTGGTGTCATCCGCAGACTTGCTGAGGGTGACATTTATCTCACCTTCCAGATTTTTAATAAAGATATTGACCAAAACTGGCCTGAGGCCTGACCACTGGGGCACTCCATTTGATATAGTTGCCAACTAGACCTCGAGCCATTGATGATCACTACCTGTTGAGTCTGATGGTCCAGCCAGCTTTCTGTCCACCTTACAGTCCTTTCATCCAACTCGTACTTCA